CGCCGCGGTGCCGGTGGCAGGTGAAATGCTGCTGGCATCGGCGCGGTCACCCTCTGCCCCCCACTCCTCCAGGGGCAAAGAAGGTGACGAACAAGGCGACGCTGTGGTATGTGCCGCTGTCCCTGAAGAATGTGAACAAGGTCCTTGAGGTTCCCCCCATCGAGGTAGGATGGCTCGCTTCGCTCCCCAAAAACCAGAGCTCACACCCTCTCCAGGGGAAAGGTGCTAACCTGGCCCTGTCGGCACCCCCGGCTGCGCCGGAGGCTTTGCCGATCCCATTGTTACTGCCTTTCCTTCAGTATGCGAGAAAGGAGCAGGAGGACGAGGGGAGGAAGCGTTACGAGGAGCAAAAGCTGGATCGGCTGGAAACCAAGCAGAGAAACGGCGACATGATCTTCCCCGTCATCAACCCAGGTAACGCGGGTGGCACATGGAAACGTCCTGGCGGCGCTGCGAGGCCAAACTGGTCCCCGAGGCAACTCCGGCCGTCCCCGGGCACTTGCGAGCACACGCTCCGAAACACTGCGCTGGGGATAGGATTTTAGAGCCACGGTGTGTGAGCGGAGGGGGAGCTGGCTCAGCACTCGTTATCGTGCACTGGGGCTGGTGGGTGGGATGCCCTCTGCCCAAACAAGGTTCCTGCCACCACTGCTTGCACCCCTCGTGCGCTCCTGGGCAGCGGGAGGTAGTTCTCCTCAGCGTTGGGTAAACGCAGGTGTTCCAGCTGCAGAGCGCGTGAAACCCTGACACAGCTCCTCTCTGGAAGTCAGTTTTTAGCAAGCTCATCGGCCGGTGTTTGAAGGGGAGGATGAGCTATGGGGAGGAGCTGGGGGTCACCACTCCCTGGGGGATCGCTGGGAATCCCTTTCCTACCAAAAGTGTTCCCCTGGCTTCTGGAAACACACCCGGTGGTGGTGCTGATGGAGAGCCAAAGGCATGAGCGGCCGGTGGCCTCCAGGACCAGCTGTGGGCCTCGGGCAGAGGCGGAGAGGTGGTGCGCGGGATCGTTGCAGGGGAGATGTGGGATGCAAGTTGCTCAAATGCTTTTTTTCCCCTCTGTTCTCCCTGCTCACAGACAGGCAGACGAAAGGTAAGGCTCTCCGGGCGCTGCCGTCCTCCCGAGGGGGCGATGCCGAGCGGACGGGGCTCGGCCGGTTTTCCCTGCGCTGAGCGCCTTTAGCATCTCTCGTTAGACGGAAAACGCAGCTCCCCGAGCGCGGTTTTCCTGTGCCGGCAGTCGGAGCGTGCGATTTCTGTCGCCTGGACTTCGTGGCGAGTCAGATGTCAGCAGCGTGTGCCGGGGCTGGGGGACACGGGGCCGAGGGGGAAGCGTGGCTCTTTGGAGACTCCGCTAAGCGGCAGTTTCGGGGAGATGCGGCTGCGGCTGGTGGCCTGAGGAGGGAAGGCATACGGCCACACGTGCGTCCGGTTCACTCCCGTTTGCTTCCAGGCTTTTTGAAAGCTTTAAGAGAAGAAATAAGCTGAGCTGCAATAAAACTGATGGGTGAGCATCAGGGGGAGGTGGCGGCCTGTCAGGCGGCGAGGAGCCTCTGCTCTCAGGACTTCTTGGGGCTGATTTAAACGCTGGTTTGAGCACACTCAGCTGTGCACAACCCAGCCCCACG